ACAGCCACGCCCATTCATCGTGCACTGTCTGTGGCTGCTTTTAGCTGTAAGGGCAGAGTTGAGTTGTTGTGACAGACCATAAGGCTTACAAAGCCTAAAATATGTACCCTCTGGTCCTTTACAAAAAATCGTGACAATTCCTGCTCCAGGTAAAGGGAACTGCAGGTGCAAAGGCCCTGAGGTTGGGCATGTCTGCTGAGCAGTGCACATCACACAAGGGCTTCCATTGCATGACTCTCTGGGCCCCCATGTGGTCAGTTGCATGTGGCTTTGCAGCCCATTAAGATTAGAAGTGATGCCGCAGGCCTCCTATGGACCCTGTACCCAAGCTAATGTAACTTGGTGGTGGGGGAGGGATATAGTAGGAACCTACTAAATACTTATATGAAATAACAGCATTTTAGAGCATTTTAAAGCACTTACCAGTTAGTGCTGTTCCTGTCACTAGATGATTATTTTGGCCTCCTACAGAGCCCACTAGAGTTAGTGTGGGCTCCTTGCTTGTGTAAGAGCTTGACTAGCTTCCTATTGTTTCTAAGAGGCCTCTTTTCTATATATTTCTGTATATACATCCTCCAAACCATAGACCCCTTCTTTCTAATCAGAACACCATCTGGGAAGTCAGCCACCTGGATGCCTCACATCCTACTTCCCTTGTTCAGGCATCTAATGAAAATCCACTGAGATCCAAACATCTGCCAGGAACTCTTCCAGACAATGGGGATCCACCATGAACGAGACAGACACAGTCTCTGTACTCTGAGTCTGGGATGGTAATAGGGTGGGCTCAAACTCAAAAGTCTACAGGGGCCATGGCAGGAAACATGAGGAGTGGGCTAGGGCCAACCTTCAGCCTGTTTTTGAGATCACACCTCACCTGAAGGCCCGTACATTTAATTATCTTTTTAAGACTGTCTGGGGGTAAATAGCATTCACTTGCAAGTCCATTTGGCCCCTAGGAAGCCAATGAGCCCACATTTGTCTGATCTTGCTTGAATGGTGAGAATGCTTAAAGGAAGCTTCATCCAGGCCCCATATTATCTCATGAGTAGTCTGGTGACCCTTCTCACTGGGGACAACCACAACTTTATACTCTAGTCCCAGAGTCCTGGAGCTGGGTTTGGCCTGAACTTGGGGTCATTTAGGATTACAGTGGGCTGAAAAAACATAGAAGTGTGTTTCTCACTCACAGAAAAGAAGTCTAGAGGTAGGTTCTCCAGTGATGGTGTAGTAGTTCCACAGTCTTTGGTAATTCAGGTCCCTTCCAACTTTCTGCTTACCATCCCTAGAATGTGGCCCTCTCCTTCATGCTCCAAAATGACTGCTGGAGATCCAGCCATCACATATATGTTCCTCTGTGCACCTACACAGGGTCCTTGTCATCTGCATAAATTTGTACAGGGAAGCAGAAGTTACCATAACACATATTCACAAAAGGACTGAGCATTTTTAAATTGGCTCCTAATTAACTATTCTTCCTTGTTTCATACCAGCTGTCTGTCCCTATCCAAATTTGTTAGTCAAGCTTGTCCTCAGTATTGGATGTGGCACCAGACAATACTATATCAATTACAAAGTAAAACTGGAAATATTGCCAAAAATGTAGGATTCCAGGGCTTCCCTGGTGGCACAGTGGTTGAGAGTCCGCCTGCCAATGCAGGGGACACGGGTTCGTGCCCCGGTCTGGGAAGATCCCACATGCCGCGGAGCGGCTGGGCCCGTGAAACATGGCCACAGAGCCTGCGCGTCTGGAGCCTGTGCTCTGCAACGGGAGAGGCCACAACAGTGAGAGGCCCGCGTACCGCAAAAAAAAAAAAAAAAATGTAGGATTCCATGAAATTGATAAAAGTTATGTTGGAAAACTACTCGATTTCTATCCAAATACTTTGACAAGCCAGAATCTGGTGGAGTTGATACATTTAAAAAACAAGGGATGCAAGGATTCTTCAATATACGCAAATCAATCAATGTGATATACCATATTAACAAATTGAAGAATAAAAACCATATGATCATCTCAATAGATGCAGAAAAAGCTTTTGACAAAATTCAACACCCATTTATCATAAAAACTCTCCAGAAAGTGGGCATAGAGGGAACCTACCTCAACATAATGAAGGCCATATACAACAAACCCACAGCAAACATCATTCTCATGGTGAAAAACGGAAAGCATTTCCTCTAAGAACAGGAACAAGACAAGGATGTCCACTCTCACCACTATTATTCAACACAGTTTTGGAAGTCCTAGCCACGGCAATCAGAGAAGAAAAAAATAAAAGGAATACAAATTGGAAAAGAAGAAGTAAAACTGTCACTGTTTGCAGATGACATGATACTACACATAGAGAATCCTAAAGATGCCACCAGAAAACTACTAGAGCTAATCAATGAATTTGGTAAAGTTGCAGGATACAAAGTTAATGCACAGAAATCTCTTGCATTCCTATACACTAATGATGAAATATCTGAAAGAGAAATTAAGGAAACACTCCCATTTACCATTGCAACAAAAAGAATAAAATACCTAGGAATAAACCTACCTAGGGAGCCAAAAGACCTGTATGCAGAAAACTATAAGACACTGATGAAAGAAGTGAAAGATGATACCAACAGATGGAGAGATATACGATGTTCTTGGATTGGAAGAATCAATATTGTGAAAATGACTATACTACCGAAAGCAGATTCAATGCAATCCCTGTCAAATTACCAATGGCATTTTTTACAGACTTAGAACAAAAAATCTTAAAATTTGTATGGAGACACAAAAGACCCTGAATAGCCAAAGCACACTTGAGGGAAAAAAGCAGAGCTGGAGGAATCAGACTCCCTGACTTCAGACTATACTACAAAGCTACAGTAATCAAGACAATATGATACTGGCACAGAAACAGAAATATAGATCAATGGAACAGGATAGAAAGCCCAGAGATAAACCCACGCACCTATGGTCAACTAATCTATGACAAGGGAGGCAAGGATATACAATGGAGAAAAGACAGTCTCTTCAATAAGTGGTGCTGGGGGGGCTTCCCTGGTGGCGCAGTGGTTGAGAGTCTGCCTGCTAATGCAGGGGACACGGGTTCGAGCCCTGGTTTGGGAGGATCCCACATGCCACGGAGCAACTGGGCCCGTGAGCTACAACTACTGAGCCTGCGCGTCTGAAGCCTGTGCTCCGCAACAAGAGAGGCCGCGATAGTGAGAGGCCCGCGCACCATGATGAAGAGTGGCCCCTGCTTGCCACAACTAGAGAAAGCCCTCGCACAGAAACGAAGACCCAACACAGCCAAAAATAAATTAATTAATTAATAAACTCGTACCCCCAACATCTTCTTAAGAAAAACAAAAATAAAAAAACGCTGCTGTGTCCATACAGTGTGATTCACTTTTGTACCTTTGTGCTCGTCTGAGCCACTACCCTTGTGTAGTAATAAGAATTGCTTTGAACCTTCAGAGAGGAAGTAAGCAGCTCTTCTGGGATGATGGGTCTCAGATGGTGGAGGCGGAAGGTCAGCTGTGGTGCTGATGTAGCACCAAAGGCATAGTGTTTAACCCCGGGGGCTCCGGAGTCACACAGTGCTGGCTTCCGATCCTGCCTTTGTATCTACCAGCTGTGTGGCCTTGGGAAACTCACTCAACCTCTCTGAGACAATGTTTCCACCTCTTAAGGTGGGAATAATAATAGTACTTGCTCACTTTGTGGTGTTGTAGGGATTGAATGATAAAAAGCAGGCTTCAAAACACCACAGCCGGTAGACCAACTCTGTCCACCTGCCCGTTGCTCTTTCTAAGGTCCATGACCTAAGAATGTTTCATTCACCCTCATTTTTAAACGGTTACATTTTAAACCGTTATGTAAGTACCTACATAGTAGCCTCAGCTTTGCCTCTGGCCTGCAAAGCCTAAATGATTTACTATCTAGCCCTTGAAGAGAAAACTTATCAACCCTTGATACAAAGCGTGTGGCTAGAGAAAGTGCTCAGTGGATTTTAAGTGGTGCTGATTCAGCTCTCAAGGAGCTTAGGTCTCCTCAAAGACCTTCCTGTGTAGCCCTCAGGAAAGTCAAGCATGCTTTACAAACAGCCATGGATAAGGAATACTTAGATGGCACTCACCGTGTCCCAAGCATTGTTGTAAGTCCTGTGTATACAGCAACTCAATCCTTATAAGGCCCCCATGAGATAGGTACTATTATTATCCCCATTGTAAAGGTGAAGAAACAAAGGCACAGAGAAGGGTGGGTGTCTCCCTAAGGTCACACAGCTGTGAGCGATGGATCTAGCTAGCATTCAGATCTTGTAACTACTTTGTCCTGCTGCACCTGACAGAGCTGGGGCTAGCCCCTAGAGGGTGCTCAGTAGCTATCTGTTGATTGCACACATGCATGTGGTCTGAGGGCAGAAAGTAAACCAGTGAATTGCCAAGCTTGTAAGAGAGGGACTTAGGCGCCCATTGGAGCCCGGGTGCCTGGTAGTAACAGCTAGGGGCACAGATTCCACACAGCCGCACAGGCTCCTGCTCTGACAGTCTAGCCTCTTCTGACCCCCACGAAACAGAACATTTATTGCATTCAAGATGTGCCCTCCTTACACATGCGATCATACTGTCTTCCCTCTGAGTCCATCAAGTAGCTCCAATTGTTACGTCCACTTTCAGAATGAGGAAACACAGGCACAGAGAAGTTAAGTGACTGGCCAGACATCACACAGCTGACTCATGGTTGTAGCGGTTCTCACACCCAGGTCTGTGTGACTGCAGGGCCAGGCCTTTTAGCCACAGAGCAGGGAAGGGAGATGGTCATTGGCTACTCAGGGCTATTTATGAACGTGATGGCCAGCTTGAGTTTTCACAGGAACCCCAGTGAGCAAATCCTGAATTTACACAACTGTGTGATGGGGGCCATGATTCACATTTCCTCTGTGAGCCTTCCCTTTTAAAAGCATGCCCTTTGACGCGTCTCAGCTCTGCAAAAGTTCACTGTTTGTCTACTTTTCCAGAAGCCATCGGCTGGGGGAGTCAGGGTTCACCTGTGAGCTAAGACGGCACGTGGGCAGCCAGCCATTCATGCATTTCGATGGCATCTGAGGGAGAGATGCTGCTACTCACAGCATAATTCAATGGAAGGCTCCTCCCCGGGAGGGGAGTGTCAGTGCCAGGAATGACATCAAAGGTAAGACAAACAGATGATGTCTGGGGGTAGTGGGGCGGGGGGAGATGGGGATGGTGTGTGTGCTGGAGGGAAGGAAAGAGGTTGGGAAGGAGAGAGAAGAACCCTCAACCTGCTGTATCCAGAGCAGCATTTGTTTGGTGGTTTGTTTGGGGTTAATTTTGCTGCCAATTATCTTGGTCGAGAATTTTATAATTGCAAAGAACAGAAACCTACTCAAAGGAAATCTCACAAAAAGAAAATACATTCGTTCACTCATTGAGTATGATTTGTGGACCTACTCTGTGCCACACACTGTGCCCTCCAGGTTCTCATGGGGAGGAGGGTCAGTAAGCAGGTGTCACATAAACAAGGCAATTGCAGACAGTGCTTTGTGCTCTGAAGAGATTGAGCAAGGCGTGCGGCGAAGCGGGAGGGCAGGGAACTTGCCTCTGGGGAGGGAGCCTCTGAGCTGAGGCCTGACTGACAAGAGCCAGCCATTGGCAATTTGGGTGAAGAACTTTCCAGACGGAGGGATTAGCAAGTGCAAATGTCCTGAGGGAGGAATGGACTTTACGCTGCAGAGCAACAGAAAAGAAGGCTGGTGTGGCAGGACGGAAGGAAGGAAGGAAAGGGTCAGGAGACCAGGTCAGGGAAGGGCCCAGTGGCCTCCATTTGGATTTTATCCTGGGAGCAGCGGGCAGCCATGGGAGGGTGAGAAGGGCTGATGGGTGTGAGAGCCTCTCTAGGAGGCATGGGAAGTCCGGAGGTGGGCCCAGGCCGGCTCTCTGCTTGGTCACCTCACAGTCTCAAAGTGGCCACCACGGCTGCCAGCATCCGAGGCCCAGAGGATGCCGGTAAAGCAAACAGGAAGCAGAGCCTTTTCCAGAAGGCCCAGCGAGCTCCCGCATTTATGCCCGTGACCAGAACCGAGTCAGGCGGGCATCCCAGCTGTGAGGCAGGCTGGGAGACAGAGTGTCCAGTGAGGAAAATGGCCCCAGCCCGCCGTGGTTTATTACACAGGCTGGACCCGTAGAGGCACTGTGACAACTTAGGATGCTACGGGAGAGAAGGAAGGGAGGACCAGCCCTTGACTCTAGCAGAGAAGAAATCTCTGGCCAGGGTACTCAGTTGTAAATTAGAGGCCTGTCCCAAGTGGGGGGAAACAGCCAGGAGGGGGGCACCCCCCAACTTCCACCGCCCACCGTCCCGGGCTGCAGTTGGGCAGGAAGTTTCCGGGTCGGGAGTCAGGGGTCTGGCCGTGTTAGGAAAGGCAAGTGCTCCCTCTAGTGGCTCTGCGGAGATGAGCCCAGCATCCTCCCCAGGGGGCCAGAGCTGGAGGCCGGAGTGGGCATCCCTCGGCTCACAGACCCTGGAAGGGGAAGGGCACCAATGATGCTGGTGAGAGCCAGCATCTTATGGGGCACTTAGGGTGTACCCTCCATGCACCTTACAAACATTAACTCGATCCTTCTGACAGCTCTACGAGGTTGGTCCCATTCGTGTTTCCGTTTGAAGGATGGTGTCATTTGCCCAATATCATAGGGACAGGAATTGGACCCACATCCGTCTCACATAGAGGCTGTACTTCCAGCCAGTGGCTTTGGGGCCAACAGACTACAGCCCAGCTATTACCACTGGGGGACCATCACATGCATCCTGAATTACATTTCCTTATTATTTTTAACTTGCTTGTTCAAAAAACCTTGTCTGAGGCTTCTGGGGGACTTAAAAGTCATCCATGGATGGAGTTTGGGACTCCCTGGGATTGGATATGAAATGCCATGTGCATCTCTGTACATTTCCCTGCAGAGAGGCCCAGAGCAGCCATGAGACAGGCAAAGGGGTTGGGACCCAAAGAAGTCACAGAGCCTCTGTTTCGTATTGTTTTGATGTCTTGTTTACTCTTTCAGGACTTTTGGAGGGGGGTGGGATGGAACTGATTAGGAATGCTTGTCACAAAGGCTTGTCTGTGCCCTAGCTGACTGGTGATGGGCTTGGGTCTTGCGTAAACTGGCTTTCGTTTAACTCTGGAAACATCTTGAATTTGACACCTAACCGGGGCCTCTCAGAGGTTGAGGACGGCAAGAGCCATTTAAAATTTTTAAAAGATTTAAAGCTACAAGGGATGTGAAGATTGGGGTAGATTTTAAGTTTTTATGTTTAACAAAGTAACGCTTTTCAAATAAAGTTCAGTGATGACTCATCTAAGTTACAGATAATGGCAGAAGTCTAAGGTGGGGAATTCTATGACTGACTGGCCCAGGCCGAGTTGTCCTCCAGCCCTTCTCCCCACTCTGTAAAAGGCACCAAGTAGCTGAATTGTATCAACCCAGGTGCTGGCTTCGAGCAGAAATAACACAGCATCTGTTATCTTAACAGTTCTTGGAGAAGCAAGGCCACTTCCGCTGCAGACAAGCGAGGTCCTCTGGGCGGGGGCATTCTGGGGCCAGGTAGAGGGGAGAGTATGAGGATGAGGAAACCTCTCACCTCCCCCAGTTGAATTCTGGACCACCTGGCCTCAGAGCTTGGGTTGAGGTTATTCTCGAGCCCCCAGCCCTCATTCAAAGGACGCACCGAAGCTCATTCCAAAATCAGAAGAAATGACTTTGAATTTCCACCTGTTTGGGCAATAATAGGAGGAGTTTGGGCTTTGGATTTGTTTCGATTTCTGCCACTTTGGGACTGTGTGACTTTGGGTTAAGCTCTTTGAACTTCTGATTCTTCCCCTTTGTGGTCGGGTTGAGAATGGCCCCCTCCCCAGGCAGCTGGAGGAGAAAGTGGGGTTTGTTCAGCCGAGGGGGTTTGTTCAGCCGTTGAGGGGGGTCCCTGAGCGCTGGGGATCTGCCTGGCGCTTGGGACTCAGGGACATGAGCGTGCCAGCCCTGACCTCGGGGTCATGGTGTTAACATCGGAGACACATGGGGCGTTGGGGTTTCTAGAAGATCAGCGCAGAGGTTGGGAACATAGGGCAGTGCTGCGGATCCCACCACCCGTGGCTCAGAGAAAGGGCCCTGGGAAAAGGCTACCAGTTCAATGAGAAGTTGGAAACACAGCCCGTGGATGGGGCCAAAAAGGGGATGTAGGACAATGGTGGGCGATCCTAAAAGTCCTTTTTAAGGAGAGGGGGAGAAGCAGTCATCGTAAACAGGGGTAAGGTTTCCTGAGATTTGTACAGGTGAACTCACTCCTAACAGGATCTAGAAAGCCTGTTTCCAGCCCCACTCCACAGCTTGGGGAAGGTCCCCAGCCTGCCTCCACCTGTGCCGACCTCCTGAGGCCCACGGTCCCCAGAGTGTCCACGGTCTCCTGTCTCGCTGACAGTGCTCCTCTTAGGGTGGTCTCACCTGCTTGCTCATCCTGCCGCCTGCTGTTTCAGGCCACATCGACTGGAGGGAGCACCGAATTCTTGGTTAACTTTCACACAGACATACAAAACACTCTCAAAAGGCATTTGGGAGCAGGGCAGAAGGTTTGGCTCAGTGGAGGGACTCACATCTCAGGGACCAAAGACAACTGACACTTCAGGACTGGACCTCCCTCACCTGAAAAAGGCTCTCGGCCACTTTCCCAGTTCTGCCTCCTCTTTCCACCTGTGCTGTCCAGCCCGTCTTCCCTCTTTCCTCCCTTCCCCTCTCTTTGCAACTTTCTCTTCTGAATTCCTCTGTACCTTAGCACAGAGCAACTCAGCACTCTCTTCTGCTGGCCTGACTTCTAGGGTCCCCACAAACAGCTGGGAAAACACAACCCCAGGTGGCGCCGATTACATTATGATCCGCATTGGGGGCTGCAAACCAGAGCCTGTGAGCCAAACCTGGCCCCCTGCCTGTTTTTGTAAGTAAAGTTTTATTGCAACGCAGCCACGCCCATTCATTTACTTGTAAATTGTGGCTGCTTTCACTATTCAACGGCAGAGTTAGAGTTAGGATGGAGACAGTATGTAAACGTAAAATGTTTACTCTTTCTATCTTTGCGATTTGACATTTTCATGAAGTGCCTAGCACAGGTGAAGGGCTGGTTAAGTGTCATTGTCATGTTCCTTCCAGTGGCCTAATGTCTCATTAACAAGTTGACCTAACTCCTGCTACGGCCAGGCTGCCAGCCGGGTCCTATAGGCATAGAGATGACCAGTAACGTCTGCCTACTCTCAAGAAGCTCGCAATCAAGTAGAAGAGGCTGGGGCTTCCCTGGTGGTGCAGTAGTTAAGAATCTGCCTGCCAATGCAAGGGACACGGGTTCAAGTCCTGGTCCAGGAAGATCCCACATGCTGCAGGCAACTAAGCCCGTGTGCCACAACTACTGAGCCTGCACTCTAGAGCCCACAAGCCACAACTACTGAAGCCTGCGCACCTAGAGCCTGTGCTCCACAAGAGAAGCCACCGCAATGAGAAGCCCGTACACTGCAACGAACAGTAGCCCCTGCTCGCCGCAACTAGTGAAAAGCCCGCGCTCAGCAGCGAAGACCCAACGCAAGCAAAAATTAATTAATTAATTAATTTTTTAAAAAAAGAAGAGGCTACCATGCAGTGTGTAAGAGGCACAGAAAGAGGATGAGGTTACCCAGTGCAGGGCTGACTCCTGCAGGCTCCTATAGCAGCTGGGTTTGGCCAATGGGAGGCCCTGCAGGAGGGAGAGAAAAGCAGGGGTATTTCTTCTCTTCCTTTATGCCTCAAGAAGCAACTCTGCAGCCCTCTGGGCCCAAAATTGCCAACCTTTTCAATTTTTCACAAAAAGCTTTGAATCTAGACTTTGTGTGAAATCTTCCCATTTGTGACTATTAGCACTAATTGTTCAACTATTATGCAGACTTTTCTGGCTCCACAGGCTGAGAGTTTGTAACTTTTGGACAGAAGGCCCATGACACTCTCTTCACTTTAAAATTTCTACGACTCTTATACAACTGCTGTGGAGAATAAAATTGTATACACACATATCCTATGAAAAGCCAGCTCCACCCCTACATACCGTGGAAAAACTCACTCCATGTACAGGAGCCATGCTCAAGGATGTTCATCTCAGCATTG